TCCAATGGCATGTCCTTGGTCTTGGAGCCATCTATACGGTCAGAGTGGGATGAGAGTGATGACGATGAAAGCCTACAAGCGCTCGAGATAGCCGCCAGATGTGCGGCTTATGAGGCTGCTTTCAGGCTCAAGATGCAGCAGGCACATCGTGATGCCAAAGATTGCAAAAAGGGCTCTTTTTCGTCATCTGATGCAAGGTCAGCAGGGAAGCCGATGAAGGGGTGCAGCGATGGGGAAGGTGAAGGGGTGGGAAATTCTGACACTGGAGAAAGGGTTGAGGCAGAAGGAGGAGGTCGCCTGGGACTCGGTGATTCAGAGCAGGTCAACCACCCAAGTTCAGGATCCTCTCCTCTTTTGAGTGAGGGATCCGATTCAGAGATTTCAAATCAATCTGCAGAGCAGGCTGACAGAGGAAGTACTTCAGATGAGGAGGATGAGGACGATCTGGAAATGGCTTTCTTGTTCCGACAGCTGCGGCTGTTTCATGCAAGCCCAAGGTCAACACCGACCATGAAGCAGAGCCATTGGTCAATCTGGGAGAAGGATGAGCTGCCATGGCGACCAGAGCTCCCAATGATTATGGAGGTGCCTGGACTTGAAGCCCTATGTGCTGCAGAAGAGCGGTTGCAGTCAGCATTACCGGTACCAGCATGAGCCTAGTACCCTCGTTGGACACTCTTGGTACAGTCGGCACATATTGACTAGATATATTTTATTACAATAGTAAATCGTACATATGACAGTATCTCGTCCACCAAATACCCCATTCACAGCCATAGCTTGGCTACATAATTATCTGTGGAGTGTCAACATCCGCCTTGACCTCCTTGTGGGGCAAGACCTTTGCACCATTGAGAAGCACTTCATCGTTCACTGTCACATCCTCACCCAAGACTGAATTCTTCTGGATGCGAGTCCACTTCCCAACTGTTGAGTTCCATCCGATAATGCTGTTCAAAATCAGGCTTCCTGAGCCAATTCGAGAACCTCTCAAGAGGACACTTCCATGGATCCTCGCACCACCGTGGATGATGCAATTGGGCCCAACGACAACATCAGGGCCTGCCACAAGTGAATGTAGGGTTCAAAATCATTGCCACATGAATTAGAAGCACGTAAAATGGAGCAGCAAACTCACCAACAGAAGCAGTTTTAGAGATGGTTGCAGATGGATCAACAATCACATTCCCAACAATGTTGTTTCCAGTGGCCAGCATCTCTGGATGTGATGTTCTCTTGTGATGCAAATAAGTCTTAATCCCTTCCAGGTAGTCTTTGGGCTGCCCAACATCCATCCAGTAGCCGGTATGAACCATGGCATATAGCTTCTTATCCATGGCGATTTTGGGGAAAATGTCCTGCGGAAGTCCAAACGAAAATCAGCCTCACAGCCGTTAGTCGAAGTCATACTTGTGAGATGATAAGGACCTTCTCAATTGACATGGGTCGCAGCTCAACCCGCTCAAGGACGGAAGGGCTTAGAATGTAAATGCCTCCATTGATGGTGTCACCAACGAACGTCTTTGGCTTTTCCACAAAACGGCTGACAGCACCTGCGTCGTCCAATATCACAACACCGTATTTGCTCGGATCCTCAACACGAGTCACCATAAGTGTCGCTTCGGCACCACGGCTCATATGAAGGTCAAGCAATCCTGCACCAGAACATACATCCCGTAAGATTCTGTGAACATTCAGCAGAATCATACGGAAAGTGACCAGCGTGGATGCTACCTTTGAATGGATAGTCACAGATCACGTCGCTGTTGAGCATGAAGAATGGCTGTGGTGGCGCAGAAGCAGTGGACTTCAGAAGAACATTCTTAGCCAAAGCCAGAGGCCCAGCCGTCCCAAGCGGCTCCTCTTCCCGAGAGCACGTAATGGTCATGCCGAGCTCTTCCTCGTATGTTTCAAGGAATTGCTTGAATCCGTGCGGCATGTAGCTCAACGCAAGGACCACTTCTTTTACGTTGCACTCCCGCAGAGCCTCTAGCTGTGAAAAATGTTAGACAGAGCGTACCGCGGTGAGTCAGCGTCATGATAAGATAAGGACAAATACCTGGTGTAGCAGAATTGGCTTTCCCGCAAATTCGACGAGTGGTTTAGGTTTGCTGCATGTATTTTCAACATCAGAATTGAACTGATCGGGCAATCTGTCATTGCGTCACGTGTTGCTGCCTGAAAACCTACCTCAGCGTCAGGGGCCGAAGGCGTGTCCCATAGCCTCCGACAAGAATCAAAGCCTTGGGTTCCACGCGCATATCTGTATCGAGTATCAGTTAGAAATGCAAAAGCAAACAATGAGTGCGGATGAAGAGCGTGATGCTACCTGAGGCCATATTTGAAGCAGCTGGCCTGTTTTCTGAGAGATGGTTTAGGACGAGGTAGTCGAGACTGGAGGAGCTTGTGGCTAACTAATAGGAAGGCAGTCCACGTTTTATGCGAGAGGCTCCCCAGTATTCGACCGCGCTACGAAGTGAAATGGTTATGCGTCCTTGGGTTTGGTTGGGGGCAGGGCTGAAAATAACAGGGTTCTCACCCTGTCTTGACTGAAAATCCAAGGTGTTTTTTATCGTAGCCCGTATTTCACATGGGCTTTTCCCCAGCCAGCTCGGAATTACACAGGGAGAAATTCCGTGGGACCCGTACATATCCGGGGGAATTACAGGGAAACCCGGACCTTTCCCATTTTCCAAACCTCTCCCCCCCCCACCCCCTCCCTTCCCCCGCCAACCCTACCCCCCCCCCCCCCCTCAAACCCCCCCTCCAAACACTTCCAATCCCCTTTTTTCTGGCCTCAACTTTTGCCCCCTCCAAAACTCGCCACTCTCCTCAATTCCCTCCCCCAAATCTCGCCCCACACCTTTCTAAGCCCGGTACATTCGGGGGCCGCATTGCTGGAAGCCGGGGTCATAATCGAACATAGCGAATTCTGCTAAGCATCTTTTAGCGCATTAAGCGAATAATTTGCCCGTGGTTTACCCTAGATTCGCGAATACTTGCGCTTAATTGTCGTTGCACCTCTCGGATATGACCTTTATTCTGTATCACTTACAGATTGAGTCACCGTCTTGGGTGGTGGGTGATCCCCTCCCCCCTCTTCCCCTCGGCCGTGGCGCTGCAGGAGCGAGGCCAAACCCGATTGCCCAACCGAAGTATTGGCGCGGGCACATTTTTCCCCACCCCACAATAATTGGTGGTGCTCAGGCCTTTTTCGGCTCGGACCCTGATTCATCCGAGCAATTTTTGGCTCGGCTCGGGTTTTACAGGGGTTTTTTCAGATGGGCCCAAATCGTCCGAGCTAGCAAAAAACCTAGCTCAGGCCCTGGTTGGGAGCGAGAGTTGCGATGAAGCCACGGTAATGCCCAAAGCCACACTTCTTACATGCATCAATACTTTGGTTGGGGTAGTACAACGCCCATGATCTAAATGTTCACACATCCAAAGATAACAAAAACTGCAGTTATCCTCTAAAAAAACATGTGTATGTTTGGAACGATTTGCATTACATATGATGCGGATGAATTGAATATACATGTTTGTCTGTTTGATCATGCAAAGGTGGGGGCTTTATTGCTACTAGAGCTTCATAGACCTAACCCTATATATTTGTAACTATCTTAAATTACATAAAAGTAGTAAGGTGTTGCTCATATCAACTTATATATATATGCTGTCAAAATAAGAACTGAATAATGAACTAGAAGTAGAAACTTAGTACAAATACTAGTTGGTTGTACTCACTAGAAGCATACCCCGGTCTAGCCTATAATTTGTACACAGCTAACATGTATAAGTTGACACACCCCCTAGGCTAGACAAGGGGGGAAGCTAAGCAAGAAGCAAACAGCTCAGGGTGGCACTACTAGTCCAACCACTGAGGCAGGGGTCTGGAGACCAGTCAGCAAGGGTACAAACAAGACTAAAGCAAGCCAGGGCGGCACTACTAGTCCAGCCACTGGAGGTAAGGCCACAAGGCCAGTCTGACAGGCATATATAATAGAGAGTACACAATTAGGATCCTAACAGGTGAGTAGCTACAAGAACAAGACCAAGCTGTACACAGTGCCACTGATGATCTTTACGCGCAAGCGCCTTAGTAAATATATCAACTGTGTTGGCACCTGAGGCCAAGTGAACTACGCGGGCCTGGCGGCGCTGCTGTAGCTCGTGCATGAGGAAGTACCGCAGCTGGATATGCTTTGCTCTGCCCTCAAGCCGAGGCTCCTGACACAGGAGGATCATGGCCCTGTTGTCAGCGTACAGGACCGGGGCAGAGCTAGGCCGCTCACCTAAGTCTGTGAGCAAGAAGGTCAGCCAGCGGAGCTCCTGTGCCGCCATAGCACCAGCGTAGATCTCAGCCTCACAGCTGGACTGACCCACAGACGACGAGCGAGTGGATCTCCAAGAGATAGCACCCGAACCAAGGCTAAAGCAGTAGCCCTGCGACGACTTGAGCGTCTCAGAGTCGTCTGCCCAAGAAGCGTCTGTGTGCCTAGTAAGGACCACTGGCATGCGTCCTCCTAGCACTAACCCCATGCCCGATGTACTAGCAAGATAACGCAAAACCCTCTTAGTGGCAGACCAATGCTGAGGTCAGTGTCTGCCTGTAGCCACAAAGCGAGCCAGGATGCTGAGAGGGTATGCGAGATCTGGGCGAGTGCAAGTCATCAGGTACATGAGGCAACCCACCAGCTCTGCGTAGGGGCCACTGGGCTCTACTGGCTCCTCAGGAACGGAAGCGGAGAGCCCATGGACTACAGGTAGTGGTGTGGGCTGTGCGGAGGAGAACTGAAGACCAAACCTCTGAAGGACCTGACGCACCAAGTGTAACTGAGTCAGAGTGATGGTGCGTGCTGCTCTGTCCCTAGAGATCTGCATATCAGAATTGAGAAGTAAAAGATAGAGTGAGAGTATACACAAATATACCTAAGTGTTGTACCCTCTAAGAGATAACCCTATACAGTCTATACAAACATAACAAATACACATGTTTGACACACCCCCTAGACTGCATAGGGGAATGTCACAAACAAACAACTCAGGGCGGCACTACTAGTCCAACCTCTGAGACAAGGATCTGAGAGACCAGTCAGAAGGAGTACAGACAAGGCAAGAACAAGAGCAGGGCGGCACTACTAGTCCAGCCACTGGGAGAGGACACAAGTCCAGTCTGAGTATACATATAAAGGACAGTGCAAAGTCAAGGTCCTAGCAAGTGAGAGGCTACAGGAACTAGACCAAGCTGTACACAGTGCCGCTGATGATCTTTAGGCGCAAGCGCCTTCGTAAAGATATCAGCCGTGTTGGAACCTGAGGCCAAGTGTACTACGCGAGCCTGACGTCGCTGTTGTAGCTTACGCAGGAGGAAGTACCGCAGCTGAATGTGCTTCGCTCTGCCCTCGAGTCGAGGCTCCTGGCACAGGAGGATCATGGCCCTGTTGTCAGCGAACAGGACCGGGGCAGAGCTAGGCCGCTCACCTAAGTCTGTGAGCAAGAAGGTCAGCCAGCGGAGCTCCTGTGCCGCCATGGCACCAGCGTAGATCTCAGCCTCACAGCTGGACTGCGCAACAGACGAGGAGCGGGTAGCTCTCCACGAGACGGCACCTGAGCCAAGGCTTAAGCAGTAGCCCTGGGTAGACCGGAGTGTCTCAGCGTCGTCTGCCCACGAAGCGTCTGTGTGTCCAGTAAGGACCACTGGCCTG